CCAAAGCCCCCCAGTACATAGTTGTATATTCTTTGTTGTGGGTCCTTCTAGTTGTGGCGGGGTTTTTTTCCAACTTGATTTAAGTTGTTATTGCTAAATTTATTGGTGAACAAAATTTTTAGTGCAAATTGAAAAAAATAGAAGAAAACATGAGTGGAATGAAATTATATTCAAAACATGGTGCGTTTTATAGCTCTTCAAATTCACTTTTTAAATACGAAAGAAATTTATACAAGTGAATAGACATATTCAGAAATTTAATATATGAGGATATTATCTAATTCTATCTTCTTGTTTTTTCAGGTTTACAGAAATTAGAGATTTCTTACTTATCTTCAATTTCACCTTGAAATATTTTATCATCATTATTATTTTTATTTATACAATTCAAGTTTATAATCCATAAAAAATTAAGATTAAAATTCCTCTCTGCTCTAATGTTCTACAGTCAAGGAGAAAAACCTGAACTTCGCATACATTTAAAAAACCATACGAGGCAATAAAGCCAGACTGAAAAACACATTTCCCACCTTCTTTCAGTCTTGTGTTTCTGCTGTATTGTCTGTCTGCCTCTGACCCCTCAGAACCGGCTTTCCCCTTTCGCACTTTCCTTGTCCAGTTCTGTAACTTGAACCAGCCTTGCCAGGTTGCTTGTCACTCAGTGTTTTGACTTTGCTCAGTCGAGGGTCCTGTGTTGGCCACACTGGCAGCTTCTCTCTCCTGCCTAATCACACAGCACTCGGGGAGCCTGTGATCGGTGAAATGCAAAACTGGGTGAGCAGTGAGTTGTCCTCGCCCATGCTCCCTCATTCATCTTCCTCTAGATCTCTTCATATCTCTTTGAGTCCCACCTTCCTCTCTGAAGCAATAATGTTATACTCTTCTCTGAGGATTTAGAGCTTTCTCTGTGGGCCACTTTCCGTTCATATTTACATTTTCTATTTCTTTCAAGTACTTTTGACTGAGGATTAATGATTATGGTGATACTAATAATAATTACGGCAGTGATGGCTGTCTATTGAGTGCATGCTACGTCCCAGGCACTATGATGAATTATTGGCATTCAGAAAGTTCTTTTAAACTCTCCATCTTCCATTAAGGTAGATATTATTAGGCCCGATTTCTTTCTTTCTTTTTTTGAGGAAGATTAGCCCTGAGTTAATTACTGCCAATCCTCCTCTTTTTGCTGAGGAAGACTGGCCCTGAGCTAACATCTATGCCCATCTTCCTTTACTTTATATGTGAGACGCCCACGACAGCATGGCTTTTGCCAGGTGGTGCCATGTCTGCACCTGGGATCCAAAGCAGTGAACCCCAGGCTGCTGAGAAGCAGAACGTGTGCACTTAACCACTGTGCCACCAGGCTGGTCCCCTAAGCCCAATTTAGAGATAAGAAAACTGAGGCTTAGAAAAGTGTTACTCCAAACTTGCCCATGAAGCTGAGTTCAGAACCTGTCTGTCTGATTCCAGGCTTATAGACTTTAGCACTGTGCTGTATTTTTCATTTCCCTGCTTTAATCTCTTCTTAACCTTTTTCGTGTTCACTCTGAATTTCAAACCTGTCCCCCTGCTTCTTGCTTTCTGCATCTATTTCCTTTGTTTGGAGAAACCTCAGCGTGCTGTTCCTCATGGTCTCCCTTACTTTTCTGTGAAAACACCCCACTGAAGGCTACATTATTTTATGTGCATTTGTGGACCTTTGAACTACTGTCTTCATTGCATAATTATTATAGGCCTTTTTGGTGACTAGGCAATGTTGGATGAAGACGGAAATATAAAAGAAGTGCAAAATCTGTTCCTCAATCCCTGGTTGGGGGGACAAGGCCTTCACATGAAATACAAACTCAATACATAGAGAAATATTTGCTCTAAGGTGTTTGGGAATTTGCCTCCAATCTAAAATAAAAAATTTTTCTTGATTTTACCCCACTCTTAAACTGTCTACTTTATTTAATTAAAGTTTTCCTTTAACTTCAATTCTTCACCTTTCTGATTCCATTCCTTCTCTTCTGAATATTCATCTTGGCTGCTTTTTCTTTTCTATTTTCTATTCAGCTCTCCTAAAGCCTTGTTCTGAGTCATTTTCTTTTCTTTTTCACTATTTTTCTTTGTTATGTTACTACTCTGAAGTAGTATATATCTCTTATCCCTAATCTCAAAAATAATACCCCATTTTATAGATGAAGGGAAATCGTTACAAAATAATTCAGAAAATTCCTCAGTTTCTCACAGCTGGTGTTGAAATTGATGGAGTTGGTGTTGAAATTGATGGAGCTGAGATTCAATCTAACCCATGATGAATCTCCGTCACCACCTTGGTTTTTTAAAAAAATGTTTTTTATGCTAATTGTTTTGTCTGCATTCCTGACACTTTGAGAGTATTTCAAGCAAATTATTTTGGAAGCGATTTGGTTTGGTTTAGTTTGATGACTTCACTTGAAGATATGAAGGATGAAACTGGGGCCCAAAAGCCAATAATGAAGTGATTGCAAAACTGCTAGAATGCTATTCTAAAGAAATAATTTGACAATATCTAGGGATCTATTGTTATGACCTCCAGCAGCATCTTCCAACGATTAACAATGAATTTCCAGCTTTGTTTTAAAGTAGTGGATAATGGACCTTTTCGCTTAAACTTCTCTTGGTGCACCCCAATGATTTTTAAAAAAAGTTTAAATGAAGGAGGAAGGATGAGGCAGATGCCCACCTCCTTTTTGTTCACATTGGGGTAAGATCATGGTTACTGATAATTTCTTCACTCTATTCTCTGGTTCACCTGGAAGATAGCAACCTTGTGGGTAGAGTAGGGGAGGTGAGAGCAGGAGGAAAAATGCTTTGTCCCTTCTTTCTATAAATTTAAGCCCATTTCCTCTTGTCCTTTCTCAGGGGTAAGCTTATATTTCCATTTTAAATATGAGCTCCCAAAGGGCAGTAACCATGCCATTTTTCCTTAACTGCCTTTCATTTTCTTCAGTATGATGCTGTGCTCACATAACTGATCTACAGTCCTAAGAAGAAAAGGACGAAAACTGCATTCCAGTGACTATAAGCTAATATTTTATGGTCCATTGTAATGAAAGTTCTGACCACTATTGTAAATCATACCTAGAATGTTCATAACTCATGGTCTGTATTGACAATACTGTGAATATATCATACAACACTAGGCAACTGATTTGAACTCTCTTAATTGGGGTTTGGTGATAATTAGGCAGAGCAGGAAAACTTTTACCTCTGCAATCTGTGAGAAATGAGGACACTTCTAGCCAAGAAATTGATACCGTAAACAAAGGCATGGAGTCATCTTTCACTTCCTTGTGCAAACAATTTTATAAAAGTGGATTATATTATTGTAAACTCATGTTAATGACTATATATATGTATTTTAGGACAAGGAAAATTTCAGTTTGAATTTGAATTCTAAGGTCACAACATTTGTAATATACGAAAGTAATTAAAATCTATTCATTAATTACCTGTGATGAAAACACTAATTAAAAAAAAAACTTTGCTATGATTTAGTACAAGTTAATGAGAAATTAGTTCTTTTTCTATTCCTTTCCTTTTTCCTTCCTTTATTTCTTTTTGGTTCTTTTTTTTTTTCTCTTTTCCTTTCTTATAAAAAGCATTACAAACTAAATATATCTTAATATATTAGATGGTTTCCTTTTGCAAAGCTTTGAAACTAGATGGTAGGGCAATTTGGACAAATATCTTCATCAACAGATCTTCTCTCTGTTTGATTGAGGGAAAGTATCTTCACTTGTTTCTTTCACTGTTAACTCTCAAATGAAAGGGCAACTCATTTTGGTTTCCTGGTGTAGCTCAGTGGAGGGTATCTTTGCTCTGGTTTAGGACTATCTATTTTCCAAACCCTGGGAGGTTGAAAAGTTACCTTCACTGATTAACAGAGAAATGAGTAAATGTGCCTGGAGAGCGATGTGCCTGGAGAGATGGGGGGGGGTGGTGGAGGTATGTACACTCTAAATGAATTCTAATTTTATTAAATTCGTTTGCATAATTTGAAGAATGCATGTGGGTTGCATAAAAGTGCTGAATACTTTTTTAAGGTTGCTCATCTTCATAATTTCTGCAATTTCGCGTCTATGAATGTTTAATAGGTTTTCCTTGTTCCTCTCACTCCCACCCCCTTTTAATTGATGGTTCTGATTCATTTGTACTAAGTTAGGCCTCAGCAGACAAAAATACCAGGGAATGCCCAGACGAGCTTCTCTGGGAAGATCTTGAGAGAATCGTCTGCTTTTAAGGAAAATACCTGTTTTTCTCCTTGCACGAGACTGGTAATGTCCTTATTGTGCACCTTTGAAGGAAGGTCAGCCCTGCTGGCAAGTTTATTTTTATTGACTAATGAGGATTGGGCATCCTGGAGCCCCACCATGGCAGGGCATTTATATGAGGCTGGAGCGTGTTGGAAACAGGGTAGATAACTAACGCCTTTATCCCTTGCTTCTTTACAACTAAATCCTGTATTTTTCTAACTGTAAAATTTTTATATTTTTGTCTACCAAGAAATTCAAGCTGCTGCACAGAGGATTACCCTACACAATGAAAACTCTAAAAGAAAACAGGTCAAATTTAGGCAGCAGAAGGAAATAAGAAACTGCAAATAACTGGTGTTTGTGGATGTGTGCCAAAGAAGCCCGGAGTCATGCTTTTCCTTTATGTCAAGCCACAAAGACAGTTTTCAGTGTTCCCACATCCATTCTCCCCTGTGAAGCCCCTCAAGTGGCCAAATTGCTTTGATTGTTTACTCTCTGCAATGGACTGAATTTTTGTTGTTCTGCCAAAACTCTAATGTCAATGTGATGGTATTGTGGAGTGGGGCCTTTGGGAAGGAATTAAGTCACGAAGGTAGAGCCCTCATGAAGGGGCTTAGTGTCCTTATAAGAAGAGGCCAGAGAGCTAGCTAGCTCTCTCAGCCATGTGAGGATGCAGTGAGAAGATGACCAGGAAGTGGGCCCTCACCAGACACTGGATCTGCCTGCATCTTGATCTTGGACTTCCCAGACTCCAGAACTGTGAGAATTAAACGTCATTTAAGCCATTCAGTCTATGGTTTTCTGTTACAGCAGCCAGAAAGGGCTGAGACACTCTTTGTAATATACATTTCACTTTACCTGAACATCATGAGAGCAATGCTAGGCTCTGTATACTGATTAAACTAATGTTCATAGCTAGTGAAAAAATAAATGACAATCTATAAGGGGGGAGGGTTGTAGACATAGCACAGGTGTTGGAGTTGGGAAAATTTAGCCTGACTTAATGCTCTATTATCTACTGACCATGGGTGATTTGATGCCTTAATTTCATTATTGATATGGTGGAGTTGTAAATAATAGTAATAACAAGAGTCAGGGGGCCGGCCCAGGAGCGCAGTGGTTAAGTGTGCACGTTTGGATTCGGCGGCTCGGGATTTGCTGGTTCTTATCCCAGGTGCAGACATGGCACTGCTTGGCAACTCATGATGTGATAGGCATCCCACATATAAAGTAGAGGAATATGGGGATGGATGTTAGCTCACGGCCAGTCTTCCTCAGCTAAAAGAGGAGGATTAGCAGTAGTTAGCTCAGGGCTAATCTTCCTCAAAACAAAACAAAACAAAACACAAACAAGAGTTGCAACAACCATTTACAAATCTGTTAACCCCTGGGCTAGACACTTTATTTGCATCATTCCTAATCCTCAGAACCACTTTTGGGATAATATTGCCATTTTATACATGATGAACTGAGACTCAATAACATGCTCAAGACCTCACGATTGTTGTACAGCCTCACTATCTGCATTCATATGTGTAATTCATGAGATAACATTTGAGGAAGCATTGTGCACAGAGTTTGGCTTACAGTGTTTGTTGAAATGGCTAAAATGAGCAAGGTCCTGTGTAAGTCTCTGGAGGAGGGAGAGAAAGATCGTGGCCAGGTTTCTGGATTCTTCCTTGGTGATTTGCCTCCCCCCCAGCTTCTGAATCCCATCCAGGACTGCTGAAGAAATAACTCAATTTTGCATTTTATGTCCCTCACACTTTTTCCCCGCCATAAGGAAATAATATATAGATGGCTCTTGCAGTCAAAGTCTCATCTCTCATATCACCTCTAGTCCTGTGGTGCTGGGCAGAGAATTAGTGGTATTCCAAGATTTATTTCCAAAGGAACGGCGTAGTCTTGCATATTTCCAAGAGAGCTGTGCAGTCTTGGGACTTGCTTGAGGCAGACCAAAGGAAACACAACAGGGAAGGAATCCATTTCCTAATCCCTACAGCCCAGTTAAGGCAACTACGGGCTTTATGAGTCTCTCTGCAATTCCAACAGTGCTTTCCAAAGAAAGCTAGGGATGCCTGTCCTAAAATTTCCTACGCTAAATTTCAAAATGCAGATTCTAGGTCCCTTCCCTAGACATACCCTGCCAGAATCCCCAGGAGTCCCTCCCTAGTGAATTCCTCTCTCTCTCCCATTTGGGACCCACCACTTCTGGTCCTGAATTTCTAGTGGGGAGGCTCGCCTGTTCGTGGGGAGGAGTTCATTGAATGACTTATGAGGAAATTTCACCTGTTTCATTTTCAGTCTGAACTTGACTTTCTTTGTGTATGGGTTGTAACAGGTCTGCAGTCAGTTTCCGTTTCTGGAGGAGACGAGGAGATGGCATTTTCTCTGTGCAGATGTCCACTATCCCATTCCGTTCAAGCTCTGATGTGTTACTGTAATAGCTGCACGTTCTGTGGTTCCCTCCTGCCATTGTGCAATGTCTATTCTATAGTAGAACTCAAGTTCATCTCTAGCTTATTTCTTTGTTACTTGAAGATAGTGGCTGCAAGAGTTGTTAAAAGAAAATCTAGTATGAGTTTTGATGCAGATATTTCCTTGCTCACTTGAAAACTCACAATTATTGCTAAAAGGATAAAGACATGCAAAAGGGTGTCATTTATGAAATCCCTTTGAAATGAAATCACTGAAGAATTCTTGTGAGGTTGATCTGATTATCAGCCAAACAAATGCACTAGGCTTTTGCGGTTGTTGTTTCTGCTTTTGATATCTGTAGTTGTTTTTCGCTTACTCTGCTAAGGGCACATCAGATAAGATTCAGGTTGGATTTCTATTTGCCTCTGTCACTGATAAATGAGAAATTCTGTCCTTTGTACCTAGACTTGTATTGTATAGTATGAAACCATTCTGCTTTCATTTAGAACCTATTTGAATATATTTCACTTATCATCCCAGAAAAATCATTACTTAGGAATAGACCTTTTTACATTGTTGGTTCCTTTGGGTTCTATTTAAAATCTTATTTTATTTTGTAATGGACATTCTTTTTATCTCTAGTTCTATATCTGTCTTTTCATGGTATACAGTGTCAGTGGACCCTCTGGATGGATCTATATATGTGTGTGTGTATTTTCAATACTAGAGAGAGATCATATTTCTATTTCTAATATTAAAAATCTTAACTATTTTCATGTTGGCTTAAAAATCACTATTGAATGAATTCTGTGAAATTTAAAAACAATTTGCATCACTTGTGAACTAATTCTGGCTCATTTTTCTTTGTGCTCTATTTTATTGTATCGTCACTTAAATTGGAACAAGTTTCATACACAGAATACTCTCTTTCCCAAGTTTTCCAAAACCCTTCAATATTTCCAAGAGCAAGTCTTTTGATGTAAATTCTGAAGGTGACTCTGGGAGTGTGGCAACCTGGATATAAATTTCCTTACCCCACTAATGATGCTGGAGGGATTTGCTGTTCTTGGGCTAAGTGCTGCAGTGGCGGGGGACTACTGGTTTTGGAGAAATCTTAGGATATGGAGGAAAGAGCTGCTTCCAACTTGGCAGGGCACTATGCTTGTCCAGGAAAAAGATCAGCTTTGACCCCAGGTGAGTTTTCTGAGTTTATGATCTCACAAAGTTCAAGATGGATTGAACTTGTAGGGTGGGGCTTCCATGTCTTTCTGTTTAGTACACTGTGGGAGCAACAGAACAGAGTGTCTTTTGCCAAGGGCTTCAGCCTGAGTCTCAGAGTCTACCTTAACCCCCAGTCCATAGGGAAGGAGATAATTTTAAGAGGGTTCACCTTTTTAAACTGAAGGATGTGTAAGTAAATTTATTAAAACCCCACATAATTAGGTTCATTCTGGTAAAATTTCTCGAACTCTCAGATGAAAACAAATTTTACAAACTTCTAGGCCAGTGGCTCTCAACTCGGAGCAATTTTGTGCCCCAGAAGATATTTAGGAATGTCTAGAGACACTTTCATTTATCACAGCTCAGGGCAAGTGGATGGTGGTACTGGCATCTAGTGGGTGGAGAGGAGGGATGCTGCTGAACATCCTAGAATTCACAGGACAGCTCTCACAACAAAGAATTATCCAACCTAATCAATAGTGCCAAGGGTGAGAAACCCTGTCCTAGAGAAAAAGAGCAAGTTCCCACAAAGGAAAAAAAAAGTACATCAGACTGACATTAGATTCTTCATCTGTAAGACTAGAAGCTACAAGAAGCTACCATTTGAGAGCAAAGGACTGCAAAGGAAAAACTCTATTTCTAGCCAAAAGTTGTTACTCTCATACCTAAATTTGAGGAACTACTAAAAAAATGACATTAATATGTAACAAACTGACCAGACAGACACCTTGAGATGGTCTCTTCATTTATTCATTTATCAATCTATGATATAGTTAAAACATAAAAGTAAGGATAGTTTCATAATATTTAATATAATAACTCAAAACAGAAGGTTCACTGTTTCATAAAAGTGTCGATAAGTTCTATAATTTTTCATCAAAATCTAGGAGTAGGAGGAAATAGTGATAAGGAGATAAAGACATTTCAGAGATCTCCTGAAGGGAGAGTGAAGGGAGGATGGGAGGAAGAGAAAGTGAAAGCCCTTATCCTATGACATATGATATCAGAGAGAGGTGGTGGTGAAGTGGATAATTTGGAAAGCCAGTGAGGGGAAATACAGGTTATCTTGTTCACAATCTATTGAGTCCTATTTGTGGTGTAGTAACCATTACTGAAATAGAAAAGTTACAGTAGTAGTTTCAAATTAATGAGAGGAAAAATGGAATGGATAATAGTTGCATACAACCAGCAGAAGGAAAGGGGAAAAAGTGTGCAAAAAGATATTGGAACAAGCACTTAGAATGATGGGCATGCAATCATAGGTATATCAAGGATTCCTCTAAATCACTGTGAATGGACTGAATTCTCTAATTAAAAGATAGAAACTCTCCTTAAATAAAAATAAAAACAAATATTAATATTTGTGGAAGAGATGGCTAGGTATTGGTCAAATCTGTTGCCTTTCTTCCTGGGTACACTAGACTGTGTCTGAAATGTCTTTGAAACTGAGTGTGTCCCTAAGACTGAGTTCTGCATAATGGAATATATGAGCAAGTGTGGTCAACCGGTTCCTGGCCTTGACCATAAGAATCTCCCATGTATGATTCGCTTTGCTGATGAGTGCTGGCCAGATGGGGAGGATCCAGACAAAGCTTTGAAGGCCCTACTGGATGGTGGCAGTACAAGAGGGAAAGATGGGCAGAGCCTGAGGTCCGTGAATGATTGTGTGGCTGGTTGCCCACCCAACATGTGCACTGAGCTGGTATGTTAGTAAGAGATGAATGCTGCTTGTGTGAAGGCACTGATTTTGGTGTTTTTGTTTCAGCAGTTAACCTATTTGACTAATACTAGGATACAACTGATTGTGTTTCTGTAAAAATGTAATAAAGACACATCGTCAGGACCTCCTGGTTATGGCAGACTATCCTATTAACAATGATTTAAAATGATTCAGATGCCCATAGTTGGTGAGGATAATGGGAACCGGACACTCTAATAAACTGGTGTGTACAATCTTTCTGGAAGCTGTTGGTATCCAAACATCAACAGACTAAATAATGTCCATTTCCTGTGAACCAGCAAGTCCACTTCTAGGAATTTATCCTAAAGAAATACCCAGGGGTTTTTAAAAAGACGTATTGATGTATGACTTCATTTAATCATTTTTAATAAAATTATGG